AGCATGTGAAATATATATATATATATACACACACACACACACACAATGAAATAAATAGCTTCAATACTACTAATCCTCTTGCAAAAGGTGGGACTAACTGCACATTTTACGGTCTTTTAGCGAGTTATATTTAAAATTTAATTAAACTACTTTTTGTTTATGTTATACCAATTAGTATAACATAAAATCGTAGCCAATAATCCATATGTTAATAGAATACAAGTTTTAAGTTCTTAATTTTATAAGGCAATATTTTTAAAAAATCACAAATTTCTCCTACCTTTCAATTTTGTTTGGTTACAGATCTATCAAATAGAAAATCAGCCCTCTCTTGCCACACCCACCTGTCACATCCTCTCTTTCAGATTTTGTTAAATTTGGTACTACATTATTTATAACCAATAGAAAGCCAAGGTTTTCATCTATCAAATGATTGTATTATATTATGTTCTTTTCTGTACAGAGAATTGTCAAATTCTCTTTCAGTACAAGCTTTGTTCCCATAGGAAACCTATCAACTGGCCTGGGTGATTTTGTAACAACTCTTTTCGCATAGTTAGAAAGCCAGAAAAATTGTGATAGTAATGGGGAATTGTCTGCTTTTTGCATGTTATTATTCTATGTTCTTTGGTGTATTATTTAGTGCATTACTACCATTGGTATAAAAAAAGTTGGGTTAAGTGTGTCATTGACAGTTGACAGCAAAAAAATGAAGACCCAGCTAAGTACTTTATTTCTTGTTTTTCATGTTTATTCTTTATATATTATTATAAAAATAACTATAATATAAAATTAAGGGACTCTTTAGGTTAGTTAAGGTTAGATTAGGTAAAATAGATAATAATAATAATATAATAAAAATGTTTCACGAGGCACACGCGTGCAGCTGTGATTCAGAGTAGCTGGTGGGTAATGTAATTCGATAGCGTAACATGAGCTCTACTTTCCCCAAATGATTTACAACTTATAATGGCATGAATAGTAGTAATTGGTTGTTCAAAGGGCAATCACAGAGCAATAAAGCAATTAAATTTAAGTATGAATAGATGTATAGTGTTGCAAATTTAAAGCTACTTAAGATAAATGAATGTAGTTTCATGTTACAACTTGAAGTCATTTTAGAAAGAAAAAAATGGTAATTTATATTTATTTCGATTTTTTTTTTGTTGTTGTTGATTATGAGGTTTGTCAAATTGACCAACCTCATATAGAATTAGGGTAGAGAAAATAACAGATAAAATATAATGTTTTACTGAAAACAAATGTTTGAAATGTGTTTAGGAGGTTTTAGGAATTACCCAAATGATATTTGAGATTTTTGGGACAAAATAGCGCCCCCCCCAGTGGCACAGCGGTATGTCTGCGGACTTACAACACTAGGAAACGGGTTTCGATATCCATGGTGGTCAGAGCACAGACAGCCCATTGTGTAGCTTTGTGCATAAATTCAAACAAACAAAGAATAGTTTATTCATCATAACATGAAATCACTTTGCCCTCAGAATAGTAACAAAACAGACTCGATATGTTCACAAACAAATCTTTAGTAAAAATACTTGATTAAAAATCTGATTTTTTGTGTAAAAAGAGGACTTGTAATGTTTACTAAAAGTTTAACAAATTTTGTGAAGATACCTATTGCATTAAAAGTTACAAATATATACTTAACATGTGCAATTGTGTATACAAGCCCGTGTATTTTATACCAAGCCTGTTGCGATAGGGTTAATTACATAAATTATTAATAGGCAATTAAAAATCAGCACTATAAAACAATAATGAACTTAATATTGAATAAGCATTAAAAAGTTTTAGCAAAATCCATTGCTAATCCCAGTTCTCACCTTAACATGTGCAATTGTGTATACAAACCCGTGTATTTTATACCAAGCCTGCCGTGGTAGGGTTAATTACAAAAATTATTAATAGGCAATTAAAATCAGCACAAAAACAATAATGAACTTAATATAAAATAAGCATTAAAAAGTTTTTAGCAAAATCCATTGTTAATCCATTATTACAAATGAAATAAAATAATGAAAGATCTTAAATAGAACTACAAGCCCTACCTTATTATTTCTTACATAGTTCATATTCTCAACCTCCTCCCTTTCTCTTGAAAGTTTATTAAAGTATAATACAGGACAGCTGAGACAAGCCCAGCTAGTTGAAGTTAGTTTTTCCATCCTGGTATACTGAATGAAATTATAATTTTATCTACTTAAAAGTACCTCATGACCTCTAGTGACAAAAAGGTATTTTGCTTATCACAGATTTATTTTTGAAATATTTCTCTATTTGTTATAAAACAATTTTCTTAATTGCCTTAATTTTCTAGTTTATTTATGAATAATGTAACATAATCCATAAAAGCATTATCATTATTACAAACTGTTAAGAATCTTTTTTTTAGCTAAGATATAATGATGCCTTTTAACATCAAACATGGAATAACACTATTGGGGTTGGGTAGACTGAGAATTGGAAAATTAAATTCCCTTCTCTTATCAAAAATAGCCAGCTTTTCTTTGCTTTCTACTAAATAATATCCAAGCCTAAATAGTTGGCACGAACATCATTATTATTGCTTTTTTCCATTGCAAGTATGATTTTACTATACTGCATGTATACTGAAATAGGTTTAAAAGATTTAATCAGAGTATTGAATGACTTGTACAATAATTTTGTAAACACGGAAATAAACATTCCAAAATTTAAATTTATTAAAGTTCAGTGTAAAAATATATTTAATTTTTGTGTTTATGACATTTATATTATTTTCAACGAACATGTATATAAACAAAAAGTGGGTATTCTAATGGGAGCGAACTTCTTTTCAAATATGGCCAATTTATATTTGTTCTTTTATGAAAACTCATTTCTGAAACATGTTTCAAATCCTAACTTATATGATTTAATTGTCATAAATAACTTGAATTTTAAGCAGATAAGGTTTACTAATTGTATGTGTGAATGTTTGAGCTAGATCTTAGTACCTCCATTTTTATGTATATTTTAAATATAGTAGAAAAAGATATTTATTGCTTTTTTGCTATTTCACAGGTACATGGAAGAGTTCCTCAACTGTAATGGCCCAAAACTGGTATATGATTCTGTTATTTCTCAAGAAGTTTCATCCTTTCCCACAGAGGCTCAAACCATAATCAGTGAGGTTGGAGGGATTGCCAACTTTTTGTTGGGTAGTATAAAATTTGCACTAGTTGGGGATTATATCTGCACTACATCTGCTAGCAATATACTAAAGGCATATAGGCTTTCAAACCAAGGTTCCAGTATCAATTCCAGTGCTGATGTGCTGGATAGTTTTGAAGATTTAAATGTTTTGTATAACAACTGTTTTGAAGAAGTTTTAAACTTTGATGAGGAGACTGGTGTGAGTGATTTTATTCACAATCTTGAAACATCTGCATTGAACCCAGATGCAGCTGTCTACAATCCTAGTGGGTTGGACGTGTATAATGAAATTGAAAATAAAGAACAGCCTGATCACAGAGAAATGCACAATGGAAGTGGTGATGGCCAGCTCCAGAAACAGTGTGGTATTGACTCTATATCCGAGATAAGAGAATCTTTACTATCAACTCTGAAAAACCTCAGACAACCCATTTATAAAAGCAGTGAGTTGGATATGATTGTTTCAAAGGTAAATGAAAATGTTGACTCAGTTGGTGAGGAAGTATACAATGGTGAGGCTTGTAACCAAGGTGCAGTTTTGGCAACACCAGTGTGCTATGACCCAATATCTGATGAAATTTCTACTACAGTTTCTAACACGGAAGATAATTTGGATGTTAAAGATGTATCAAAACTTGGCTCAAATATCGACTTAGCTTTGACACAGCTAAAAAAAGCTGTAATGGCTGTTCCTGGGCATTACAGAACTGATATATTAATAAGTGTTGTCAATGGTGTTGTCTCGTCTGGCCTTATGACAACTAAAGATTTTGGTACTATCAACTATCATCTCAAAGGAGTGCGTATTAGTCCCAAATCGAAGCTCTTAAACAAAGCTTCTCAGTCATATGATGTAAAAGTGAGTGAACCTTTAACTTATAAAAATATTTTCTGTTTACAAGTTTTTTCATTATGGAACTAATTCTTCGTGGTTGGTGTATCTGTCTTTCAGTGATAAATGGGCAATTAGATGTGATAATTGTAATGTTTTAAGAAAGGCATTTCTATTTGCTAATTGTTTGTTTTCATGCATTAGCAAGGCTTTAGACTGTGAATAACCAATGGGACTTTAAATATATTTTGGTAACAGTTTTTTTTTAGGGTTAGGTACTCACAGCACCTAAACCAACAGAAATTCCTCACTACTTAAATCACAATAACATGCCAACTTACATATTAGCAGAAGTGAAGGTGGCCAAATGTCGATGTGCTTACTAGTTGCTTAGCTACATAAAAAAGAAGTGCAGATGAACTGAGAGATAGTAAGGTGCAAAAAATAAATAAATAAATTACTTGAGTAAAAAGATATAGTAAATTTAACAGGAGTAAGAAGAAAATGGACACAGCAGAATAAGTGGTAAATCCAATAATGCAATGTTTGTTGTTATTTTTCTTTTTTTAGGCAAAATTTTGTAAATTTTTATTTATCATCAAATTGACAACAGCTTTATAGTTTATGCTGAAAGTGGTTGTTCATTTGTAGCACTAAACACATTCAGGAGTGTAAAATCTTTATAAAGTTCATTCAGTGGCATAACTTCTGTGTGTGTGTTCTGCATGCTAGTTTTTCAGCTACAATACAAACTGCTTACTTTACATCCTCCACACGTGCAAAGGAAAATACATAGTCTTGCAGACTCGGCATAAGTTGATAGAAAGATGCACTAACGCATAAAAAATAATTTCCTAGGTGTAAATAAACACAGAGGCAGCAAACGGGTGAGTACAAACATTACATTTTCATCTTATCATTTTGTTGTTATAACAAATTGTATTTTTAAGCTGTTGAATATGGAAACAATCAACTTGCTTTTAAAGTGGTGACCAGCAGTTGGATTTGGTGACCAAAATTATTGGTCTAGGAGCCATTTGTTCCTTGGACAAAATGTTTATAGCCCTTATTAGAATTACAGTAAATTTTCAGTTTGTTTAGGTATTTTTACTTTTTCTGACATTTTATATGTATTCTTATGTGTAGGTAATAGTAAAAGTAATAATATTCAAAGGACTTGTTACAGAAACAAAAAACAACATATGAATATGAAACGAGTAGACATGCCCACAACATTTCATGTTGATGTTATTTTTCTTTCATGGCTCTCTTAAACAGTGAGCAAATGGACGAAATCTCTCACTGAAATGTAACTTTGTCATAACGTATCGTAGATAACGAACATTAGTTTCTGTGTGTCATACATTGTTATGCTGAAAACCTATAAAATACTGAGCATAGTGAATAACTTAGTGTTGTAGCAGAAATTGTACATAATCTTTTTGTGTTGTTAGAACTTTTAAGATCCCGGTTAGTCAGAATCCCACCCAAAATTACAGTTTTTTGCTGGAAAAAAATAATTTTTTACACATAAAAATACCATAAAAACTGGATAATACTGCTGTATGTAAAAAATTCAGGTGTTTGAAATCAGTTTTCCATTTTTACGTGGCGCAAGTATGATCGAAGTTATGAGAAGGCCAGGACCATGTGAAGAACATAAATACAAAAATAAAGGAAGCTGCAAAACCTATAAAATGTGTTTACATTGTGATCCTCCAACTATATGTACAGTCAAACATTGCCATGTTATCCCCCAAAGTGGACATGGAGTAGTGCAAAAGATCCAAAAGCCAGTAAAAAAAGAGTAGGGAGAGGCAGTGCAAGATGTTCGTGTGGAAATGTGTGCTGAAGAGATTGTTTTGTTACAAGTCTTGGGCATTGAGATTGAAGACATACTAGAAGAAAACTAGAAACATGTTTAGTTTCACTAATTATGCATTGAAATTTATTAATAATATCTTTGGAACTAAAATATCTAATATTTGTTAAAATCAAAGCATTCCAAATCTTTCCTTTGATTTTCTTGGAAGTTAGGAGGTAGCTGATAATTTTTGCATATTTCTCTGCGACCAGAAAGGATTTTTAAATTCTGATAGTTGCTCTCACTTTTTTAAGACCATTTTGCACCTAATATGCACTTTCCTCATTTATTTTTGATACTTTTTAAAACACGGCAGCCCTAAGGGTGGGTTTCTCACTGACCAGGATCTTAATAAGCAAGAAAATAATGTTTGATTATTGTGAAGTGAATATTCGAGTATATTTTAGAATATTTACAAAATCCATAATTTTAGTTAATAAACATTGAAATAAAACACTTCTACAGTAGTTGAATGAGTCTGAAATATTAGTTCAATGTATTTTACAGCAAATACAGAGGTATCAAAATATTCTTGAATATAAGATAAACTGTACTTGTTTCAACAGTTAAATCTACCTGTAAATGAAAAGTTTTCTTTAGCTCATGGACTACATATTGCATTGAATCTGTATAGTAGCTACATAAATTATCTGCAAAAAGTCCACTTTAAGAAGAAAATCATTGTCATTGATCAATATTGGCTTCATACTGTTCATTAGTCTTATTTATGAAGATGGTATAACAGTTATGTGATTTTTAATATCTGAGGGGAAAATGGTATACCACAACAGCATCTATTTAACATGGATGGGATTTGAAAAATTTGGAGACATTTAGACAAAAAAAAATTATTGAACATGAATAAATAAAATTAATGTAGAAACTTCAATGTGGGAATAATAACATTACTCTAGTATGAAGGGTTTCTGATTCATTCTGGAACCCTAAGGATCACAGTTTTATATCTTCATGTATAACCTTTGTATTTAACCTAGTATATTTAAAGTCTAGTAAACATTGATGTACCATAACACTGAAATGAGCATTAATTAGTTTTCAGTATGACATACAGTGCAGGAGGAGTAGAAATTATCCTTTTTTAGCATTGAAATGTTTGAGCTTTTATTTGAAAGTAACAACTACCTCCTTAGTGTAACAGCTTTGTTGCGAAATACTTTTAAAAAACATTTGAAAAAGGGTCCATATTGCTTCAGAAAAGTCAATTATGCACTATATTGTGACTTTTTAAGTTGATTTTACCATAAAATGCTAGTGTTTTAGTGGAATTTCACCATATGAACAGATGTATGGGGTAATCATGTTTTGTGTAGAAATTAGTTATCATTTTCGTGTTGAAGCAAGCTATTAACATAATTTGAAATAAAGGTTACTAATACTTCTTCCTCTAATTGATTAGATTTATTTAAGATTGTTGGTTTGCCTATTAAATGGTGGTACATGCATGCACTTACAAATTTTATCACTCACTTAAAAAATGCATACATGTTTAATAATTAAAACACATTTTTATGATATAAATGAAATGACATATTTTACTAAGGTTTCTGCATAGTGTTTGAAATAGTACCAGTTCTGTTGTCAGCACTACTTTGATTTTTAAATTTCAACTTAGGTTGAAAAAGTATCAGTAGGGGTAATGAAAACAGATGAGGAGCTTGAAGAACTGCAGGAATTGGTCAGTAGGCTCAAGCTAGATGAGAAGAATGCTGAAGATCGACTAGTAGATGCTTTAGATAATTTTACACGGCTACAGAATAAAATGTCAGTAGAAACAAACAGACTAAAGAAAGAAGCAGAAGATGCTAGAGAGTATGCTAAGGTAAGTGAAAACATGGATGAATTATTTTTCTGTACTATAATTGGTTTTTTTCATCTGTTTTGGCAACTTCATGCTTTGAAACTTAGATTCACAATACTCATGTAACTTGCATCATATTCCTTGATTATAGAATTGAAAGAACATCTATTAAGCAAGCATTTAGGAATATAGAATATTTAACAGATTGGATTTATAAGTTGTTGAAAATTTCATCTGAAGATAAAAAGTTGTGGATTGACGAAAATTCTAAAAATAAATACTTCTTTTTATTATTTTGCAAAGAATATTTAATTAGATTCTTTTTGTGAGAGTGATAATTACTTCATAGGTACAAGAGGATAAGTATAAATAAAAATTGCATCTAATCTGGCTGTTTTAATTTTTATTGCTTTGCTATAGATAATCTTTCAAATAATAACTTACAGCTCATGTTATGTTCTTACTTTTATCTTTATAATGAGGGCAAGTAATGAAAACATTTTCTTCATAATTCACCACTATTCTTTCTCATCACAAGCAAACATGATCATTGGAATGTCCCTTCTAGTAGCCCAATATGGCCAAGCAGTTAGGGTGCTTGACTCGGAATCTGAGGGTTGTGGGTTCGAATCCCCATCCCACCAAACATGCTCGTCCTTTCAGCTGTGGGGGTGTTATAATGTAACAGTCAATCCCACTATTTGTTGTAAAGTGTAGCCCAAGAATTGGCAGTGGATGGTGATGACTAGCTGCCTTCCCTCTAGTCTTTCACTGCTAAATTAGGGACAGTTTGTGCAGATAGCCCTTGTGTAGCTTTGTGCAAAATTCAAAACAAACCAAACTAACCCTTCTAGTAATATTTTCTTTTCATTTTTTAAACGTATTATAAGCCAGTTTGCAACAAAAAGGAACTCATGTTTGTCTGACTTTTAAAATGTTATTAATTGCACTTTACATGATTTCACAATCACAGAATAATATTACCATATATATATATATATATATATATATATATATACACATGCTTCCTGAGTACCTCTTAAATCATCTTTTAGATTGAAAATAAGTCGTGCCTGTGTCAAGTTATGCACTGCTAATATTGCTTGTACTTTCCAAAAAATAAAAAGTATGGTTTTGGTCATTTTGTCTATACATGCATATATTTTTGGTGAAGGGGTAAGAAATAGATAAAAGTAGAAAATATGAGCAGTGTGAAAACTCCAGAGCCATTAACATACAAGTGCATGCTTCTTGGGTGTCACATTATATAGGGAAATTAATCTGGCCAGCATAGCTGACATTTTGAAGATACATGCAAGTTTGCACTTGGTTGGACTAGGTACTCAAAATATTATGCTCATTGTGATGTGAAAAATAATGGCCCTTATAAAGAGAAAATCTAAGTATTTTTTGATCATAGTGTGGTTCATAAGTCTTACAAATTTTCAGCAAAGGAAATGTTGATACAATTAGAGGAAGACTGACTGTTCATTTCAGTGCAAACTTCCATTAATTTACGATATAAGGAGGGGTGTTACCCAACTGTTTGCTAAGCAGAAGAAGCAAAGCCAAACATTTTTGATCTGTTGTCATGATAGCATGGCATAGCAAAACAAACGTTTATGAACAGTACAGGGTGGATTGGAGAAGTTTTTGCAGATGATACAACATAAAATGAATTTAAGACCAGTAATTTTGGCAACAAACTTTAAGTTTTGCACTGACAGCACCATACTGTCTAATATGTTTTTCCTAGTGATAACACTACCGATTTGTCAACACCAAGGATTAGACATTAAAATGTGATCAAGATACGTTTTCATAGAATTTCAGAAAACTGGCAATTCGGAGGTGGTCTTATGGTTGAAAGCACATCCACATAACACTTGTGAACAATTACAAACAGACCAGTAAGTTTGATTAAATGTCCCATTCCTTCATAGTATACACAAGGTAGCTGGTAAACTACCTACTGTGGAGGTCCTATGCACATTTTGTTTATTTCATCAGAACAATTTCTCTATTGTCAGATCCCAGTAACTTACAAAGCCCTTCTATACATTAAATGCATTTAGTTTGGTAAATAATCTATCAGTGATATACTTGAAGTATAACATCAGAGTTATGAAAATGCACTAATTTTATTTGTAAGATTATGATCTTACAGAAAATATTTAATGTTAAATTTGCATTGTAAGAAAAAATACTCAAATTACATAAACATTATTAGCTCTTAATGAATAATTATTGTTAGTTTCTACATGAAACAAACTCCCTACTTAGATCAAAACTAAAAATCAACTAAGTAGTGAGTTTAATAAGTTAAATATACTGTTCTTACTTATAAAGATTAGAATTTACTGTTTCATTGGTTGGGTACCATTTTTTGTCAGTGATATTTTTGGCCATGAGCTCTTTTATTTATTTTATGAGTTTTGGCCAGTGTGGGATGTTTTAGTTAGTCCTATATCAATATATTAAGCTAACAGTGCAAAATAATCTGTATAATAAAAAATGTAATTATAAATCAGAAATAATGAGAATAGACAATCTAACCAACACTGTTAATAAAAGTTAACATTAAAGAAAGAATAGGGTTTACCTTAAAAGAGCTATACAGTTCATTCATAATAGAGTGGAAGATTACTATTTCCCAGGATTTAGCTGTTTATTCAGTTTTAAAGTATTTTTTATGTTGAACTAATCCAGTACTTTATCCCATATTCTACAGTATGATATGTATTGATATTAGAAAAGAATTGTCATTTGTCAAAACCATTATATTATAAATGACTCAACTTACAATGTTTGTTCTAGTTTACACAAAGAGAAACATCCTTGAGACCTAATGTATCTTAGTCTCAGTTATCAAGATCTGACAAAGTGAATCAGAGTCAGCTCTGTGTGTGTGTGTGTGTGTATAATATACTTTAATGGAACAATTTATATAGTTACACCTGTTAAAGGTATACTTACATGAAGGACTACATCCACAAATGTTATATGGTCATTTCAGTCCTTTCAAAGTCAAATGTTAGTATATTGTTTATTGCTTTCAAAACTGTTACAGATTACATTAAAAAAAAGAAAGATGCATAATTATAGGTATATCTGCTGTACTTTGATTTTTGTTAGCCCCTGAATTGGTATACAATTTTACAAAATTTATAAGATGAAAATTGGTCACTCTTATAATGTTTAGAGAACATGAAATAATTTGTACTTCTAAAAATCAGTCTGTTAGCGTAATGGGTGGGTTTGAGTTTTCATAATTTTGAACATTTAGTTACATAAATTGTTAATCCTTCAGAAAATTGAAGAAGAATGGCAAAAAGGTCTACACCTGATAGAAGTAGAAAAGAAAAAATGGCAACAAGATCGTAATAAGTGGTCTGAAGAGATAAAACAGGCACAGAAAGAAACCTTGTCTGCTCATGTACAGAAAGACAGGTAATTTTTTTTTTTCTGTGACAGAATTTTAAGTCAGCATAATGACAACATTACAATCTTATGAAACAGTCTTGTAATATCACTGTCATTAAATTAACTTATACAAAAGTTATTTCACTTTTGAAAAATGAATTTCCTAGTAAATGTAATGTAGCACAGGTGTGATTTATACCTGATATTATATTTTCTGTACAGTTACAAAGAAAGGATACTAGAACTTGTTTATCAATTGCATTTCTCACTGAAGTCAAAAGATTACTGCTCATGTATGTCAAAGTATATTATGGTGGCAGGATATACTATAAAGACTCGCATGCTCTCATTGTTAATTGGTAGAAACATGTTCACAGAAATTAACTCTTTTTTTTTTCAGTCTATTAAATCATAAAAACACTTTTACTGAAAATATTTGTGTCAAGACCCAAATGTAAACCCTTGAGGTAATGCTGTTTGTTACTGTTAACTGTGACAAAGAAACAACACAGAAGTTTCACTTTAGATAAAAATTAAAACAAGTTTGCAAAGAAAAGTTGCAAGTTTGAAAGTTTACAAGCTTGTGGTAATCACCACATGGTTTTGATTTGGTTTCGAGGGGTAAATTTTGTAAAATTTGTTAGGAAATGAATAACTGTTGGATGAATCATTTGGGAAATATTTATATTTTTCTGGGGTACTAACTTATAGCAGGAAACAGGTTAATGTTTTCCAGTATTTACTTGTTTTTTGAAAGTGAAATATATGGTACCAAAGCATACATTGTGTACAGGATTTTATGTTAAGTCCTGTAGTAGTCACTTAAATATTGATTGTTTCTCGTTGAAGTCTAGAACAATTTTTAACATTTAATATAATTACTATTTACAAGATAGGGTAAAGCTCAATTACTTTGCCTTGTTGATGAGGCAGAGTGTAGCTGGACTGTTTGTATTTTTAAACAACATCAACAATTTTCCCTATTTTTCCTTTCAGTTTTGTTGATTTTTTTTTGTATTATAGAGCAGAAATGGAAAGAAATGAATTGTTACAGAAACTTGCAAAAGTACACAAGGACCTAGAAACCGAGCAGTAAGTTTACTATTGTAGGATAGTTATTAATAATAAGGGTATTGGCAATGAACAAATTATTTTACTATTGTTCTGGGGAAATGCGGTGAAATGTGATCAAAATAGAGAATATATTTGAACTTCGTTGGTTGGTTAAGTGGTAAGCTTCATTTGTGCTGAAAGTTAAGCAGAGTAACTATGAGCCAAAAACAGTTTGAAACTGTATGGTGGATTGAAATTCAAACATATATATAAACTTAAACTTACTCTTTCAAAAAGGGCATTTGCAGGAACTCAGGGCTTGTGTTATAAAGCCTTTGTTGTGTATGTATCATATCATACGTAGCAGAAAAGTAAAAGTAAGGAGTGTGGAGAACAGACTGCACCAAAGACAGATAGACCTTGTTGTGTTGAGCCTGTTGACAGTGGGAAACATTTGGCCCATTTGCAGTGTGATGGAGTAGGAGCACTGGAAAATATATGTCCAAGCCACAATAAATGGGTTAAATGCATTAAGTTTGCACTGAAATTTAATTTAATTTTACATTGAACAGTATTCAGTTGAGTCTCATTAAAAGATTATGTGAGTTATTTATCGTTGGTTATCTAAATTTCAAAATTTCACTGCTTCTTGTTTATAAAAAATGTTTTATACATTGTAAAAGTTTTTCTTTTTTGAGTGGATCAGATTTTTGTAGCCTAGAAAGTTTGATTACGAGTAACTTACATTCTCTGCAAAGATTCTTAGAACACAATATTAACTTTTTTTTAAAAAAAAGTTACATAGAAGGTTAAATAAAATCTTATTCAATTGGAAGTAGAACCAGAAATCAACTAAAATTATTTATGTTTTGACTAATGCTAAAACATTTCTTTAAGTCTTACAATTTTATAATTATTACACAGTTTCCTTCTTTTAAATTCATTCTCTTTATTTTATAAAACTGAAAGCTGCTGAATAAAATGTTAAATACGTTTTTTCTCTATATTTCTACAGTAACAATTCACTTCATCTTCAGGATACCATTCAATCTATTGTCTCAGAGTTTGAAGACATGTCAGATAGAGTTAAAAAGGCAGAGGTAATGGTTCTATTGTGGTTGAAGGTATTAATGTAAATCACTGTATTTCACCTAATGAAAACAGATTAAATAAAGGAATCTACAAACATAGGGTTAGCTTGCCACACTGTAAGTCTGAAGTTCCATGACTTGTGTTCCATTACTGAATAATCATGTTCCACACCTTGTAGCCATGGATGTATTATTAAGTGACAATAATGTCCCACTGTTTGATTAGAGTAGCCCAGGAGTTTGTTGCAGATACTATTGGCTAGTTGTCTCCCCCCTTTTTAATCTGTCAATACAAAATGGGGACAGCTTGTACAAATAGCACTTATGTGACTTTGCATAAATACCTGCATCAAACAAATCACAGGCTTTGGAAGAGAAACACAGTTCAATCAGCAGATGGGACTTGTAGTACTTATGTGATTTAGATTAACTGTTTTACACTTTGTGTGTGTGTGTGTGTTTATATAATAATTCATAATAACATAATTCAAGAAGTTACTGGAATCTCAATATTCCCAAGAATAATGAGGCTGAAAATCTTTCAAATTATTTCTATTAAATTAAAACTAGTTTGATAAATTAATAATGAAGTTTGGATAAATTAACCTTATCACATGTTTTTGCCTACTATGAGATTTGGAAATTTTTAAAATGCAATGTATGTATAAAGTAGTGTGTTAACATTCTACCTTCCTGAGACAGAACACTGCTTTTTGACTTACTTCAGAAGCAAGTTATTCTCATGATTGTGATTTGTAGAATCCACAGATATTTGTTTAGACCTGGTATTTAAAGAATGAAAAAGCTTTAAGAAATTAACAATGCTTCACCTAGGTCACTTTTTGTTCCAGCTGTAAAAAAGCTTTTTAACCTTGTCTTCTTCCTTCTACATGGAGGTGAGTCCACACTTCAGCTTGCTTAAGATGTGACTCCTTAATCCATTCACTTTATAGAACTACTCATAAGTATTAAGTATCACATGATGAAATAGTCTAGCTTTTAACACTGTCAGAATTTAAAAATCTAATCTTCGCCAATTGTCAAAATAAAAGGCTTTTACTTGTATTTCTTAATAGTATAAATATATTCTATGTTGTTGTTGGGCTTAGGATTCTTCTACACTAGGTGTCTATGATTTGTTGGTGATAAATTCAATGATAAATAAACAGCATGCACTTCACTTGTGTTCAAAATAATATATATATATATATATATTTGGAACAAGATAAACGTATATACAACAAATTCTTCACACTATAGATATTATAGGCATATCATAAATACTGTATATGTAGTTCTCTCCTTGTCAAAAGTCCACCAAGACCTATTCAATTACTTTAGAATTTCAGTTGACAAGCCAAACTATCTTCTCTATTATTATCGCACTAGTATTCTGTGTGTTATACACTTACAATTGTGGTGCAAATTACCGTAATCGTTTGATCTTCTTTCTTGTGAAGATCCTTTGTTTCTTTTGTCATAGTGCACTCAGGCTCATTCAGTTACTTTAGAATCACGCTTTGATGGAATAATTCTTCTTCTTATCTTTTGTTCGTCTTATTCTGACATATTAAATGTTAGGCCTATCACTTCTGTGGAAGTTAACTTTTCCTTTTGTAACTTTACTTTCTTCTACTATTATCTGTCTGCTGCTTCCCGCTCGTCTCAAGCTATTTATATCTTTGTCACTTAATAATCTGTCCACCTTATATATTCTCGACATCAATGTATTGCACGCGACGTTCAATAGTTTCGACATCAATGAATTATTGATAAAACTTCCTTCAGTCGTCTGCTTTTAATTCTTATTATAACAAAAACTAAACAATAATAAAATATTCACTCACAAAAACAAATCAATCAATAACATCTAAACTAAACAGTCATTTATATCATGACAAACACTTCATCTTTTTTCAGTGTCCTTTTTACATTAAATTGAATCATATTATAGAGACCTTAGGTAATTTTCTCTATTGCTACCATTTCATATTTTGTAATTGTCTTCTGCTCATGCCATTTTTACATCTAACTTCCTGTTTGGAATTGGATTTTTTTTTTCAAGTTGACCCAGGATTTTGCCATGCACAATAATTCTTGTTTTGCCTTTTACTGGAGAGGTAAATACTAAGGAATGTTATGAAATGAAATGTAAAATAACATATGATTGTTAACCCTTATTTCATTTCCTGCCTTGACTATGAAAAGTTAGTAATTTAGTTAGCGACTGTCATCCTTGATGTGTTGCAGAAGCCTACAAAGTCTTTAATATAAAAAGTAAAATGTTATCATTACAGGGTATCACTTACATTTCAAATGCATGTTAAAAACACAAGTAGACAGATACACACTACAGCTTTATTATGATGTGATGTATCCCACATTTATCCAGTATTTCAAATGCGTGGACTGAAGTGGGTTAAGGTAGACAAATTTCAGAATTGTTTTGTTATAACGTCCTTGTTACCTATTAAAAAAGCTCGCCAAGTTTTTAATACGCTGCTTAAGCTATAATTGTGATCTATAAATTCATGAATGTTTAAAAAAATAAATGAATTTGATTTAAATTGATTATCTTGCAAATTTTTTTTTTCATGAAATGCACTCAGAGGAGCTTGTATTTTTTTATATATCATCATTTGAATGCTGTTTGATGAGTTTATAGTGCAACAAAACAGTTACATGCTCAATATTAGGGAAAATGCCGAGTGTGAGTATAGAAATGCATGTTGGTAATAACCTTGTATATGGAGAGTTATGTTATTTCAGATGAATCTTGTTGAATTTAAAAAAGCTGAAGGTATTCGACAGTTGAAAAGATCCAGAGATGTGGCCATGAAAATTTTTGATATGCTGAAGGGAGAAAGAGCAAAGTATGTTTGAGGAAGTTGAAAGTAATATGCTCAAATTAGATATGAATAAGTCACTTAGAGGACATGGCTTTTACTGATTGAAAACAAGAAACATCAAGCAGTGATTTAGTGTAAATAAATAGTGTTAATTTTAGAAATGTTTATTATATTTTTAATATGACTAAGAATGACTGTCCTTCAGTAAAAAATGTTAGTGAACAAATCTTTAATGGCAGCATACATTTTTACCATTGAAATTGTAAAGGATCTGATAATGTTATGTTTCTGTAGTTAATAAACAAAGCTAATATTATGGTATTTTTAAAACCTAAAATTGATAGTTTAATTACCAAGTTGTTTTGTTTAGCAGTTTCGTCTGAAATATCACATGGGTGGTTTATAAACAGCAAAATAATCAATGACCCTTAGTTAGGATCATTTTGTTTAAAGTGTTGTGTTTTTTTTTTAGCTTTCTAGTTGCAATCCATAGAAACCATGTATTATTAAAAAGGTTTATTTTATAATGTTCTTAAAGTGATGATAATTCTTTGAATCATAACACAGGCCTTTTTTTCATGCTGTTGTTTGGTGTGAATATTCATCATTATATTCATATATTTGTAAGGCTGCTTATTGGTATGCAATAATTACCCTATTAATTTTAAGTTGTTTCAAAATAAAAGAAAACAAAATAGAAGGCAACCATACAAAACTGTTAACAGAGTGAAAATATTTCAAATCTGTAGATTTATTGTTTATTCACGAGTTATTAGAATAATTTATATCCCCAGTTTTGTGACAGTAGTTGAGTTGTATTATGTTTATGCTAACAAATTTTTTCCTAATGCTCCTAAGTTTGTTTACTGATATAATATGTCTTACAGTAACCTGCTCTTTGCTTCTCCACTCTCCCAATATGTAAAAGAATTTGAGCAGTTCATTCGTGTTCTTGAAGAGCATCAAGTTTCCTTTCTGGTAAATTTCTCTATAATTTGATTTCATCTTCCTCTAATTTTGCAAAAGATAAATAACATTTTAGAGCATTAATATATTTTTGCAGTAGCATTTTTGGTAACTAAATGTCATTCTATCAAACAAATGATATATACAGTCAAGCTTCATAAAAAAAATAAGAGGTAACTTGCATATTTCAAAAGAGTAACGTAAAGACAATATAAATGTCATATCTTGTTTTTCATAAATTAATTTAAAATGTTTTAGTACCGTAGATTTTTGCAGTCTTTCAAGTGTAATGATAAATCTGCCAGACGTTCATTACTGAAGTGCTTGAAGGATTTGGATATGAATTGGTTAAAGGGGAATTGCACTGCTATGTGCTCCCCAGTGGCATGTCTGCAGACTTACATCGCTAGAATCTGGGTTTTGATACCCGTGGTGGGCAGAGCACAGATAGCCCAATGTGTAGCTTTGTGGTTAACTACAAACAAACAAACAAAGCAATGCTATGTAAATAGAAGTTGAATGCATCTAGAGTTTGCAGTAAAAAATATACCTTGATTTTAAAGTGGTGTGAATTCTGTGATATTTAGAATCTGAACATTATTGATAATGCTAATTTTCCCATTAGTCTGAAAGTATTGGTTATTTTAAAAGTTTTGTACTTTCATATTTGAACATTCTTTAAGTGTTTTTGTTTTTTATTTGTGAATGTGTTTTTTTCCTTAGCAAGTTGCAGATGAGCAACTTAGAGGGCTAGCTACTGGTAAATCCTTGAAAGAGTATCCTGAATTGACCCTTCCTGATATTCCTGATCCTCTGTCTTTAATACAAACATCACAGGGAGCTGTTGTAAGTCATCATTATGAAGATTTCATTCATAGTTATGATGTGTTGAAAGATGCTCTAGAAAGCTATTATTTTGTGTTGTTTTTATTTTTTTCCAGAACAAATTATTAAGATATCGTATGAGATATTTTTGAACATTTATTAAGGTTTGAGAATTTGTAAGTGTAGGTATAAATGTATCATGTCTCCCTGATTAAAAAGAAAATCAATCTACTATTGAATATAACATATTTTAATATTTTTCATTATCCAGGTCAAATATAGAAGTTCTACATAATGCTTTATGATATGTAATCTTGTATGCAAGTACATGTCATGAGGTTGATTGGGTTTTGAAAAATTATCCAACCAAGCCACAGTTTTATAAAAACAGAGAAGTAAAACAGAAATCTTGTGTAACATTATTAACTGATCTTTAAACTTTAGATGTAAATATCTCATGTCGTTGTGGATTAGATTGACGTGTTTCAAAGAACAGAGAATTAAATTTAGTTTTCTCTGTTGAAATTAATATTCCGAAACACTTTTTCCTGATGAAAGTTTCTCTTCTCTGCCCAACTGGTATAAATCTTACCTCATTTGCTTCAGCCTTTATACTCCATTATATTACTCATAGCAATTTAAATTTTGTGATTCTTTCCATCTACATCAATGTGCCCTCTATATCAGATCCGTATATAGGCTCCCTGTTATTACTTCTTATTCACTTCTCAACAGCAGAATGCTACAATGAGGTTTTATGTTACATTAATTATACCTACACTCTGGATGATTTTTTTTTACCAGTCTTATGAGCCTTTTGAGTTTGTTGTTTATTTTCTTTAATTTCCAAAAAAAAATCTCTGACATTTCCAATATCAATTCTCACATTCACATCTCTGATATAGAGTCTCCTAGTGCTCCTAATCTGCCATCTCTAGGGTCTAGCATTGCCCAAGCAGTGGGGAGTGGCCCCCCTTTCTGCAGAGGATGTCCAATCTTTCATATGCAGAGAGGTAGAGTTTCACATGAGGTCTGATATTTTTATCCTGTCAGCTCAGAGGCTGAGCATGCAGGGGATATAGGGGTGGACTGGCAAGAATTTGGATTATTTTTTCTGCCTCTTTTCTCTTAGTGAAGCATGGGAGTCCTTACTACTCCCAGTTTCCAGTCATTGGGTTAGTGAACAGAGGTTCATTCCTCCTGAGTGATGCTTGTACTCATTATTCCACTCAAGAAGAAGAGGGCAAAGCTAGGTGCCCTCCTACCAATAACCCTGGATGCTTTTCCTACATGGACCAGCGTGACCAGCCTATGCAGGACCCTTCTTGTAATTCTGGTCCAGAGATGATTCTTTGCTATCTGGTTGAGTTGTGTAGCCCTTCTATTTGGTCATTCTCGTTATTTCAATGATCAGAGAAGAGGGTCCTTGACCCCTTGTCATTCTGCACGTGGAGCATCACTTCCTGTGCCATTGGTTGAATTTAGCTTGTAATACATGCTCCTCGTAATTCCAGAGACAGGAGGTGTTGCCTTGTTTCTCAGGTTGGGGAGTTAGGAATTTGGTTCATAATCTCAGGCCGGGTAATCTGTTTCTTCAGGTTGAGTCAGGGGTGGCAGGTTCCATAATTCCGAGTTTGTTTTGTTGCATTTTGCGCTTCTTCAGGTTGGGGCCAAGGTTTGTCCACTTTTGTGTTGCTTGCCTTCTCTTTGTAATTCTGGTGGCTTGACGTGCAACATTCTATAACTTTCAGGTTGGGTTCCAATAATACTACATTACTAAACAAGACCAAAAATACAGCGGTCCTCATGCCCTAGCCATTACACCTTGGTTCTCAATTTGGGTCAACAGCCCTATAATTTCAATGTCGAGACATGGGACTTCGTCTTCTTGGTTGGGGTCTGGATGAATTCATATTCTTCTAAAGATGTTAGGATTTCCTGTACCGAAAATATATTTTTATAATACTTGCCTCCTCTCACACTATCCTGACGTTCCCTCCCACGAAATGGCCAATTTCAGGTCTACTAATTTGGACCATCTTGAAAAGTGAATAAGAAATAATAATAGGGAAGCTTATATACGGATGTGGTATAGGGGGTACATTGACGTAGTTGGAGAAAGTCTCAAGATTTCAGTCACTATGGACAATATAGTGGGGTATAAAGGCTTGAGCAAGCGAGGTAAGATTCATATCAATGCTTAGATAGGCAGAGAAGAGAAACTTTAGCTGGGAAATAACTAAAGTACAAGTGGAAGTGGGTATTATCAGAAATACATTTTTGGTATAGGAAAATGTTAACTTACATTGATCATATTTCCTTGATATTTCACAAGTTGTAAAGTTTACTTTTGTTATTACATTGTTTCTGAAGGGGCAATTTGAAAAACAGAACTTTCTGAAGCTTCTCTGCCTTGTTTGTATAACATGAAAGTTATACATATGTATAGATGGTGCAAAGAATTTTTTGTCATGTTTTATTATGTTTGTATTAGTAATTTTACAAAACAAATATTAATTGAGTTTATTTCCAAGTACATCTTTAACACAAAATAGAAGACATGCATACACAAAATAGTGAGCAGTTAAAAAAGTATTTCAAAGCTATAGTTATGTTGTTTATTCCAAAGTTAATGAAATAGTTTACCAATCCAACTTTGTGAAGGAAATAATTAGTTGTTGATTCCTATTATGTTCATACTAGTAATTTTATAAGGAACAGCATAAAGCATCAACCTAATGACTTGAATTTGTTTACTAATATAATCTCTCTTAATGTAACCCGCTGTTTGTATTACCATTAATTTCTTTCTCTTTCAAATAAGATTAACATTTCATCCATTTTGTGAGAAAAATAACTTTAAAATGTTCAGGTTTTTAGTTTTTCAAAAAAAATATTCAGGCTGTATTGACATAAATTATATCAGTCAGTTAGAGAAAGTTTGGAAATGCTTTGTGTCTAAAACAAAACATTTAGTTAAAAGGAGTAAAAAGTGTTCAGCTTGTAAATCAGTACTTAGGATGTTTTATAGAAAACACATTTAGTTAAAAGTGTTCAGTGTTAAATACAGTACTTAGGACATTTTATAGAAAATGAATCAAGTTAAAAGGAGTGAAAAATGTTTAGTGTAAACCAGTACTGTATATAAGAAGTTTTAAACAAAATACATCTAGTTAAGAGAAACAAAATTATTCCTTATGTAAATCAGTACTTAAAAAGTTGTAAGCAAATTACATGAATTGTTTTGGTTATATAAAACAAGTATTGTAAAGTTTACTTGTATATAGCTTTGTTGCCATAATAGTGATTATTGTATTCTAACAGAAGAAACAATTGTTGAATTCATATACTTCACTGATTGGAGACTTACATCACATACCATAATTATTGAAGCTCTCTTGTTTAATTTTTTTCTTGCATTTTCGAACTAACTAGCTTTCCTGTTGGTCCATTTTTTAAATTATCCTCACTGTTTGTTATTTGACTTTTTTTACTGAAATTTTAACTTATAAGGTCATGTGAGTGTCCTAAAGTGTTAGTTAGAGATTTTGAACTTTATAATGTCAAAATACCATAAGCTTTCAATCACATACAATAATTTTTTTGTTCAGCCTGGTATTTTAGACCACATGACAGGAGTTTTTCCTTTCCTTGAAAACCATAGGATGGGTACTTCATTTCTGCCAACATCCACAGGTGTTCCTTTAATGCCTTTTCAAACACCTGCCAGTATTCGACTACCTATCCAAACTACAGCTTCTCCCTTACTGCGAGGAATGTTACCCCGTACCATGGTCTCCCCTCCACCAGGGTTATTAGATACTGTATCTAGTCATACTGATGCTCTTAAAACAGCAAAATCAGATGATAATGTTATGAACCAAAATGGCCAAAACGCTTTTAAATCAAAGAAAGAGAGTATGAAAGGTAAACTATTTGCCTTTTTATATTTTACCTTATTTTATAATTGTTTAAAGAAGAAATGTTAAGCATTATAGATTATTTATCATGGAGTTACAAGTTTTGGAGTATTTAAGTCGATTATGGCTAGGTAGAAATGTAATTGTGAAATGTTTTTATTATTTTTTAATATTAGAAATGTTGTGTATTTATCTAGGAGTTTTTGGAATGTATACAAACCAAGTGTTAGGTTACTATAATTTTTATTGTTATTTCGTAAACAGATTTAGATGCTATAGAATTACTTCCTGAAATTCAGATGCACGTAAAGCCCAGAGAAAGAAGTTCTTCACAGGAATCATATAATAAAGATAGGCTGAAGAACTCAAGACAAAACACCCCACAGGTTCGTTCTTTTTAAACCCTTGAAATTCACTTACAGATTTGTAAAATCCCTCAGGATCTTGTTATGTATCAAAATTTATATCTGTCACCTGTTGAACTGTACTGACAATGCAAGTCTTGTCCTAATCATCCAAGTTTTGTGAAAAATCAGGAGTATGCTGGTAATGATTATTCAAGCATAAATAATTGTTTCACAGGATTGTAGGGCGCATGTATTAACAACTCATAAATTGAAAAATATAATTTAATGAAACTTGTAACATAAAATTGTTAATAAGCTTGTAAATAGTAAAATTGTCAAAAGACATGGTTTGTATTCACAGGAATGTACTTTTTTAAATTGTGATATTTTGTGAAACAGGTCAACAATCTCTTTCATTTTACTAACTAATATACATTGGGTAGTAACTTGATTTTTACTATCAAATACTGTTTTACCTAACTTTTGTTTTGGCCAAATTCTCTGAAATAGAATGTAAAGGTTTTATCCAACTTTTACTTTGGCCCATTCTTCTGTGTTGGAATATTAGAAATTTTACCTAACTTTTGTTTTGGGACACTTCTCTGAGTTAGGATGTTAAAGGTTTTATCTAACTTTTACTTTGGCCCATTCTTCTGTGTTGGAATATTAGAGGTTCTATCTAACTTTTACTTTGGCCCATTCTTCTGTGTTGGAATATTAGAAGTTTTACCTAACTTTTGTTTTGGGACACTTCTCTGAGTTAGAATGTTAAAGGTTTTATATAACTTTTGTTTTGGGACACTTCTCTGAGTTAGAATGTTAAAGATTTATCTAACTTTTGTTTTTGCCTACTCATGTGTGTTTGAATGTTAAAGATTTTGCTTAATATTGCAAAAGGAACTTTGTTTTGTTTCTTTAATTTTTGTATATTGCTGTAGAAAGTTTTTAACATAGTAATTTTGAAGTAGCTCTGTTTTGCTTGGTTTTGTACGTGCTTTACTGATGAGCCCAGTTGATATTACAATTTGTTAACATGTACATATTGTAAGTAGTCTTTCATTGTTTCTTACCATTTATGTAAAAAGTTGGTAGAGTAGTGACAAATGTTGTTGTATTTCAAAAATTATTTATTTACAATTGCTATGATTTTTTAGGGCTTTGTTTATAACGTAATTGATAGACATGTTAGTTTAGAGTACAAATTTCTTGTTTTAGGAGAAGGAAACGAATCTTAGATTCTGTTTTATTGTTTATTTAGGTTCCAGATTCAAGCTCAAAAAAATCCTTTGAAAAGCTTCTGGAAAAACTTAGTATGAAACATCCACAATTGAATCAGTAAGTTCTTTATTTATTGTTGGAGGTAATGTACGAGCTATACTATGCATGATTGTAACATGTCTGTCATAGTTTTTATGATAAGGTATGTTTCTTATATGTATGGGAAAGTTTTCTTGCATTATTATTTTTAAACTTTGGTATGTCTTAAATAGAAGCACCTGTAGTTTAAAATGGTAATTTTATTCGAGCCTTCAAAGTCAGAATAATATTTTTCAGAGTTTTGCACAAATACTCAAAGAAAAGACATTTGCTGCATGCTACTGTAACAAGCATGTTTTTTTTCATAGATCATGAACTGTCTTGTATACTTTGGTTTGTTGAATTATCCATCAAGTGTTTAGTTGAGTAAATTTTCTATTAAGCTTCTTCCTTGGGTAATTCTGTAATCAATAGCTTAAACTGAAAAGTATAATGTAGAAATAATTAATTTTATCTGAACTAAAGAACCAAAATTACTTTCTATTGAAATAGTAATCAATTTAAACATGACCAGTTTAGATGTAACTTTGAGAAATAGCAAAAATCAGGTGTATGAATATGTTTGTGTGTGTGTATATATATATATATATATATATATAATA